TTTTGCACCTACAAATACAAGTTTGGCTACACTAGACTCATGGCTTTCTACTAGATTAGAAAAACTCTTAATGATATTTGAAGAAAAGTCAAGTTTACGAGAAATCTAATCTATTACAGGATTATACTTTTTTAGCTACAATAAATCTAAAATTATTGGATTAGACGAAGATCTAATTATATTAAAAATAATACGACTATTATGACCATTTATTATTATATCTATAGAAAGTATTTTATGAGTAATATCTCCAAAAGATAATGGATGACCGTCTATGATTTCTACATATACGGGTTTAGTTTTTTGTACTAATTATATATTATGAATTATAACAAATTCTTTATCTAAAAAATAAATTGAGGCTCCTAAATCTATTAAAGCAAAGGCTTTGTGATTATTAGATCCTAAACACACATCTATTATAAAACAAGGAGAGGGTTCCGAGGAGAGAATAGGACCTTTATTAGGAATTGTATAAGATTCTAGCCGCACGGTCCCTATTGTAGTTGGACAAATTTATTTTTTGACATATTTTCATCTTTGACAATAGTACTCTTCATTTTATAGTTGTGTCATTTCTTTAGATAATACTGAGAATTGTGTTTGGCTTTTCTATAATATAAATATAGTCCTTCTTCATGACAACAAGTCTTTTCTTATTCGATAAGAAGTTTAAAACATACTACATCAATTTGCATGTCTTCTACTTCCAAATGTTTAGATTGAAAAGTTGGTGTTGTCATTGAATTGTAATAATGTTGAGGTTTCTTTGTGCAATTCTCAAATCAAAATTCAAAAAGTCGATTATCAAATTTCATATTAAAGTCAATTGTTTGATTCAATGTCTAAGGATCAAGTAAATTGAGCATCAATTTCTTTACTTCATATTGTAATCCGTAAAGAAATTGGCTGATGAAAGCTGCATCATCTCACTTGATATCTGTCGCTAATTCTCAAAATTGTGAAATATATAATGTTACTAATCAATTGCTTTGTCGCAAGATATAAATCTTGTTGGTTGTAACATGGATTGCATCATGTTCTCCATATATAGATCGAAACTCCACTAAGAATGCTTCCAAATTATCCAATATTGGCTCACGTCATTCAAAAAATGATGAAAACCATAATAAAACAGAACTTAAAAATAGTATTCCAATAAACCTAACTTGTGATCCTTGAGTTGGATAACTCTGAGGTTGTTCAATCACCAATTATACCTGATTGATGAAACCTTGAAACTTAGATCTTGAGCCATCAAACTTCTCAAGCAATTTAATTTTTGGTTCTTTGAAACTTGAACGATGTTCCATTGTATGAAGTATGGCTTGGTATAGATATTGAAGTAAGTCCAATCATATCTATATCTTCATTGCCTGATAATCTTCTTGCTCCTTGTGGTAGTAGACTGAGTTGATGCATTACAAGTATTGACTCTCTTATTTGCTCTTACATTTGAGCTATTCCACTCTTCATTTCAGAAAGCTTTGCCATGCTAGCACAATAAAAAGAAAGGTGTCTATTCTTATATAATACAATACTTAAGAATCAAGAAAAAAAAAATTAGAAACAATATCAGTTTAGAAGAGAGTAATCCACAACTTCTAATATGCTTATGTCTTATTAAGAGAAAGGGATAATCCACTCTTAATCAAGAAAGGACAAAGCTCTGATATTGTATGTGTACTCTTGTCAATTTGTCAAAGATACAGAGTGGAAGAAAATACATAAACTTGTAGAATCTGTATGAAAAGAAAAGTGACAAAATAGAAGAAAGTATATATATTTAAGGAAGAAATGGAATGGCTATTGCCAAAGATTAGAAAACATAAGACTCTTGAAACTAGACTAAAAGTAAGAAAGGAATTGATAAGAGTGAGGAAGGCCTCACTCTTGCTTCTATATATACTACTTAACTAAGAATTATGTGGCAACATGCTATATGACCTCTAATACACATCTAACTTACACGACACATGTCTAATTTACAAAGAAAGTTTCTTAGGTGTGTGCCATATGTCCAACTTGTACTACAAGTGGTCAACATGTCGACATGTGGCTTCCTTGTTGGCTAAGTTTTCAACCTATTAATCACCTATAGACATCTATAAAGGCAAAGCAACATCTATGAAGCTTCTAGGAAGCTTTTTATAAGATATTATCATATTTATCTAATTTGACTTACTTCTACCTATTCTTATTATATAGATAATTATCAAGGTAAATATGTATGTCTGTGACACAACCTTGATTCCAAGTATTAGAAAGCTTCTTGGATAAGTTCTTTAATTCTCCTGAAACTTTCTAAAAGCTATTAGAATATTCTAAGAACCATCTAGAATCTTTTAAAATATTCTAAAAATCTTTCTAAAATCTTATGAAATCTTCCAAAATCTAATAGAATATTTTTAGAATATTTTTATAATCTTTTTATTGAATGTTTATAATAGCAAGTAGGAAAAAAAAAACAAACAAATATATAATTAGTTCATTCTATTACAATAAAAGAATATATTAAATCAAGCTTTTGAATTGTTAATTTGTTAAGAAAAAAGATCATAAAAATTAGAGGTAGTAGGAAAAAAAGATAAGTCATTTAAAGTCATTTGTAAATCATTCAAGGCATGAGTTGATAAGATTGAAGAGAGCCTTAGTCTTTTTTCTATTAATACTACTTACAAGTCCAAAGGCTCAGAGTTTAAGTCTATCATATTATATCATATCATACAAGCTAATAGATGATTTGTTGGCCAAGTCTTAAGAAGCACCTCAAGAAGCTTTTAAAAAAGTTTCACGTTCCAAAGTATACTGGATAGCTTCATTTCTAAGCTATTCTAAATGACTTTAGAAAGCAACCTAATGTAGCTTAGCTTCTAAGCTACTTGCTACATATTTCTATTAAATTCTTAGCATGTTTTAGAAAAATCCATCATAATCTGAAAGATTTTTAAAAGGTTCCAAAATCTTCTTTATATATCCATAACATATATATTAGATAAAATTATAAATGAAGCTAAATTTATACTAAGTTACAATAATAATTGGAATAAGAATATACAATATGTTTTTATAGATTGAAGATTTTCATTCTAAGAGGAGAGAAATAAATTTTATTATAATTTAAAAGTTAAAAAATTTCTTAATCAAAATAATTAGTTAGTAAGATTTAAATTGTTAAAGTTCTAGATTGTGTTAGCTTAGTTAAAATAGATTATAAAATAAAATAAAATTAAATTAAAAACTTATATTTAAAAGTAAGGTTCTAATTATTTTTAAATATAATGCCAAAAATAAATTTTACTTTCTAATCTAATTAATAGTATAATTAGATAGAACTTAATTCAATATTATGATAATTTTCTATTGTTTGAAAATATTCTAATACTTTAAAAATAGTAATTATAACTAAATATATTTTATATTTGGATTATTGGTTTATTTATTTGATATTTATTTATTTATGATAATATGGAACTTTTTTTCTTAAAACCATAGTTGCTTATGCCTCTAAAACATAGATAAAATAAGGTACCATAAACTTAATATTTCTAAAATATTTCTAAAATATTGACAATAAAATAAAAAGAAACTATTAGATAGACATCCCTTATTTACTTTGTGGACAATTCCTCGTACTATGCATCCTTGCATACACATAATAATCTCTTATATACATTAAAAAGTTTTAAAGTAAATTTACTACAAAAGATTTCTTAAATAAAATTAATGATTTTTTAAGGTGAATAAAAGAATTACATGAAATTTATTTTGAAACTTTGGTAAATTTAATCAACACAAAAAAAATAAAAAAAATAAAAAATAAAAAATGCCATTAACCATTGCATACAAATCTTTTGTAAAATTACCTTAAAAAAAGTAGTATAAAAAAAAGTTATTATATTTTTGAAGGTATGTTGCATAGATGGTGTCTATGAAGTAAAAAAGGAGGTATCCACGTGGCAGTTTTCTAAAATAAAGTATCAATTGAAGTTAAAATAATCCATATTGCATTCATAAATTAATTATTTATATTTGATTTATAACAAAATCTTTAGCCTTGTTGCTCTTCTACAATCTATTTTATATTGTTTTACAAATGTATTGTGTATAGACATTTTCATAATCATAAGAATTATATATATATATACTCTATTCTTTTATATTTTAATTTTAATTAATATCAAGTTATTACAAAAATTCGTTATCTGCATGTAATATAATTTATTAGATAATTCTACTGCTATCCATCTGTGTAGTATTCAACAAATTACTTTTAGATTTTTCCCCAACATTATCCTTTTACTAGCTCTAGTACTCTTTGTCATTGTAATTTCTAAATAAAGATTTAATAAACACATTTATTTTTGTATATTTGTATCGTTAGATTGAGTTCAATACAAAGAAACTTTTGCTTAAATCTTACTATTACAGAAATTTTCTAGTAACTATTGTTGTTTGCAGCCTTGCATAGTAGAAATACAAGCAAATTTGCTAGAACATTAGACTATGCACATTTTCTAGACTTAGCTCTATTGTATTTGTTTATCCTAAAAGTCTACAATTTTTAAAATGCCAAATATCACTAAATATGTATATTCACAAGTGTTACTTCAATGTAATCTTTTAAGATTTGGCTATAACACACATACCCTATCTAAACTCAACATTTTTCTATACCTGGCTCAAAGAATGCTCGGGTATGTAAAACGCTCCAATATGAGCCTGATTACAAAACGCAGTATGATTTTAAAGTGTTACGGAACTTCGTTTCGCTAGGTGTTTTGGACAGATATTCAAGTCATGGTTTGTGTTTTATAGTTGTATTTGGAGATTTTTGATAGAGTAAGTTTTACAGAATAAAAATGGTTGTACAAGATTTATTGCATTGATGCAACGAAATAACATTTAGACTTCGCAATAGCATCTCTTATTGTCAGTGACAGAGAGGGCGACAACGATCCTTGCCCGACACTACCGCACCAAAATAGTGTAGTGCTATCTTCATCAATGATAACATACATCTTTGATTAAAAAAGATACAGTCTAGCCTAAAATAAATTGGTTTTGAAGTTGCCATTAAATGCCATAAATGCAATTAAGTATTCAGTTGCACAACTACTCGAATCACAAGGTAATCCAAACTTGCTTAGCTAAAATGTAGATGAGAGCATGTGTTGAAATACAAACCTCAAATAGCTTCAGGCTAATACAGTATGAGACGAGAAACGCACCACCAAAACAAATCAGTGGTTTGGCTATGATCGCCCTGCACGTATCTTCAACCACCGCCGGTGACTAATTGGATTTAGAGAGAACTACAAACCGGTTATACCTTGGATGCGAAGCCTAATCCAGCAGATACTAAATCCTGTGTAGAATTCACAGACGGTTGTTCTCGGGCAACTTTGGCAATTAACTTGTTTTCATCAGGTGAACCACCCTCCAAAAAGGCGCCCATTACCCTGTTGTCCTTAACCCAGTAAGCACCAAACTTTGAGTCAGGTGTTCCAGCCTCTCGGCCCCAATGCACAGTTTCACCCACATTGTCGCCATAAAACTGCCACGACAGATCGAAGGAGCGAGAGTAGAAGAAAGGCAGGTAATCGTACTCGTCCACGACTTCGCCCTTCTCTGCAGCTTTGATAGCCTGTTCACAATCAGTTTGCAGAACAATGTATTAGGACTTTCCAGTAAATTAAGTGCAAAGCATACCCAAGGTGTCATAAAGAAGGCACGTAGTGATTTACTGATTCAATTCAGATATAAGCATAGAGCACTACATACCTGCACAGCCTGCATGGCCGACTTCCTTGCATGATCCACATGCTCCACTCGCCGAGTGTCGCCGTACATCTTCATTGGGAACGTCGCAATATCACCTACAGCGTACACGTTGGGGTCACTTGTCTTGAATGAGGCATCAACCTGAAAAACAATCATTCAAAAGTAAGTAGGCTTTCAAAAAAATTCACAAACAAAGAATCGTTGGAAAGAGTGCCTTCTATTCCCACTTTCTGTGCCATAGAGACAGGGTTTTACACTCAGAACTAAGGCTATTTACTTGTTTGCCGAAGTTTATCTTTGAATAAGAATTCGAATAGTTTCGATATTATCAAACCATCTACGACGATCTTATTTTCACCATGCATAATTTTCAGATGAAATTGTGATTTATTTCTAAGAATGATTTTCTCTATATAGATTCACAAATCCTCTTCATGCTAACAAGACAGTTACCATTCTCACTTTCTTGGCATCCCACCTGATTCATCTACTGGCTAGGTAACAAGATAAACCAGCACAACAGAAATTGCGCCAATGAATAAACATTAGCGTGTATATCAACCACTTATTACGTTATAGAGCAGAAAACACAAACCTTAATACCACCCTTCTCCTCCTCCAACAAACCCTTAAAAGGACCCAAAAGTGGTTTTGCACCAACTCCCACAACCACGAGAGTGCTGTCCAACGTTCTTCCATCTTTCAGAATTACTTTCGATACCTGCATCAGCCGTTCTAATATATCAAAACATATAGAATCAAGGGAAAACCAGAGAATGAAGCTGCACTATCCAAACCACTATGTTAGTGCATCTACGTAAGATCTGCCAATGCAATGTGTTGTGGCCCATGGTGTACTGAGGTTACAGATCCTAACAGAAATATTACGTCACTCCTACTTTCTAAGCTTTCCTAACACCGATAACTATCATTTGCAGCTTCAAGGATCAGGATCTTACATGGCCATTATCATCTTTCTCAAAAGCAGTCACAGACGTTCCCTTGATGATGTTCACACCCTTATTCTCGTAATAACCCTCATAGAAGGAGGCAAGCTCGGGTGTAAACAAACGAGGCACTGCAATCAAATTACAAGGCCGGAAAAATTTAGCAGATATTGTGCGTAAACCTTCTTATTACGGATTTCATCATCATTCCCACGCATTCCAGTCTGCGGGAGAACTGGTTTCTTCGAAACGTTCACTTCATACATAGAGCCCATCGCATACGACCTATTGACCAGGTATGGTAAAACTCTTACTGAAGCATGGGTCTGGGAACACCATTGTGACTTTAATCTTATTGATTGTCAGGCATGCAGCTAATTCCAGCCCAATGTAACCTCCACCGACAACCACTGCTTCACCTCCCTTGTTGGCTTTAATGGCGTCAACAAGCTTATCAGCTTCATGCACCTCTCTCAGGTAGTAAATACCTTTAGCGTCGGCTCCAGCAGTTTTGAAGTCAGCAAGGTTAAGGAACTGCAAGAAAAGTTATTACTTAGAGCTTTGATTATTCAAATTAGACACTAGTTTCGTCGTCAAACTCTTTACTCTACAAAAGTAGGCAATGCTATTAAATAACAGAAACTTAAGGCGATAAAAAAGCTTTAATACAAAATCTACTTCAGCGTAAAGCTTTTTACGATAAGAAACAGCAGCACACCCACCGTAGAGCCTGTGGCAATAACCAGAGTTCCATAACTGTAGACATCTCCCTTATCTGTCGTCAGAGTCTTGTTCTCTAGGTCGGCCTTCACAATCTCAGACTCCAGTTTCAGTTCAATACCTGACAGTCGAAATGCATGTTACTTCGTGTTAAAAACTACCAGTAGGGTTCAAGCTTTCCTGCATCGTGGCAAACAATAATGATGAACTTCACAATCACAGTGTACGGTTGGAAAAGTATACCTTTTTCGGCATACCAGTCCGGTAACTGTCTCTCTCCACCGCTTCCTACACAGACATGGAAGCCTGGAAGCCTAGCAGCAGCTGTCACAGAAGAACAAATAAATAAATCAACCAATCCATCACCTCATTAAAAAAATAAAGTAAGATCGTGTTTAAAAACATAATTGCTACTTCAACTCCGTATATTGAGGTGCTGTTCACACAGCAGCTCATCACTTGCCGCTGAAACAAATACCCCCACAGATGGTATGAGGAGACATGGACACATTGTACTGACCAACCAAATTCCTGCGAACACTAGTTAGAGACAGTAGTGGAAAGCAGTACTGCAGTAGCTCATATATTATCCAACAGTCAACCTAAAATACTACAGTGTGGTTTAAGATGCTTTTCTAGAGCGAGGCAAAGTCTATAGAACAGTGAGTAAGACTTGAAAGATGCGAAACTGCTCAGATCCAGATGCGTCCGCATATCTGGAGAATATGCGAGAACAGAATTGATGTTCTGAAAACTTACCCTCAGGGAACATGTAAGCTTTGCTCAAGGCGGGTCGCTCATAAGGTGCCGCCTGACATTCCGATTTTAATCAAGTCAGTCACTCGACAATTTTCTGTGCTCTACACTGCAAAGCAACACCTCATCTGACTCAAAGACGCGACATTCTTGCGGAGAAATCAGAAAGCCTTGTCTGAAATATGGAGAATCGAACATTCCGCACTTATACTACTTGAATCGATCGTCCTAGCATGAGGCTAACAAGAAAAAAATATTCATAGATATATACCAAACAACAACTAGAGAAATAATATTTGTCTTAACCAAGTAAGTCTTTGACATAATAAACCAAAACAACCACCGTTAATAAGTTACGATCATTAAGGCAGAAGCAATTTACCGCTTCTTTGGAGAAAATGGTCAATTCTCCAGGTTGCAAGCCCAATTTGACAAACTCTCGTGCAGCGTAGCCCTGCACACATTGCAAACACCGTCTCAGTTTCTGCACTTCACACACTGTAAGTTAAAAATCCTACCGGTTTTTAATCATGAATTTGATGCAGTGTTCATATATCCTCTGTGGCAGTGAACCTCTTGTGCAATCATCTAGAACTTGCTCAACACTGCACCACAGTACCAGCCTCGATGCAATCCAAATAGATCATTTCAATGCCACACTAGCAACCCTATGAAAAACATCTCAAACCTTACCCCGGCTACACCTCCTCCCACCACAATGTATTTGCGATCAATTGTAGCCATAACGTCACCTTCTACAGCGCTGCACAAAAAATACCAAGACAGTAAATTAGAGACAAATAGAGTATGACAATTCAGTATCAGCCTCGTACAGACTAAAATGTGTTCAGTTGTGAAAAATTCAGAATTCAAATCCCCAGATGTAAATTGTGTTCCCAAAGAGAGAGATTCTTCCGCTTAGCACAATTTGATCTGATTTTCAGGCCGTGCACCGTACATGATAAGTACTTTAAAGTGCCACGCAAGCATACGCTTAAACGAACATAAAATAAATGAAACCCAGCTTCATGATCCACAATCTAAACTGTTTAGATTACAAACAAGCACTGCACATTGTAAACCCTAGAACTCTAGGACACATATCCCCGCGAATTAGCATAGTAACATTCGCATACCCATCAAACACAGAGCACACAGTTCGAACAATCACTGCAGATTGAATCGCGATTCAATTTTAATCGTTACCAGAAAACTTGCAATCCTGAGGAATACTTTGCTGAAGAATTCATTAATTTCTAAAAAAAAAAATATATAGTGGTGTAGAAGCATATCTAATTTTCAGCGTAAGCGAGAAATCTCAAAAAAGAGAATTCAAACGTTAGAAATGCTGCTCAGCTGGAAATTTGATGATCAATAGACAACATGGCAAGTCGAAGGCGAAGGGGATCTCAAATCTATCCAGTACAACCCGCAAATTCCAACATTCCATTCCACTCAAAAGATCAGATCACACTCCACGTAGTCCACAAAGACGAAACTCAAATAAAAAAACCTAACGTCGGAAATCAAGAGATCTTCAAAGAATGTAGGATTCCAACTTCAGGATGACCTCATCTGAAACCGAGACCCCAAAAACAAGAACTACACTTAGCCTCTCCAACCATCATCGCCATTCGCAACGAATAGAATCGAGATCCAAACCAGAAAACTTAGAACTACAGATCTCACAATACCATCTCCTGCAACCTCGCTCAATGGCCAAACCACAGCTCGAACAATCTATCTCCCACACGGAAGGACGTCGCATTCAGAAAATTCAACAAAGAGTGACAAACCTACTGATCAGCGTACTTCGGGACCCCACAAAAAATCGCACAGCGGAGCTGCAACAAAAACCAACGATTCAGGCTCACAAATTCACCTTCGCAGAGCTGGATCGAGTGTTTAAATCGGCACAAAATGTCGCAGCGGCGCAAACGATCCACAGAATTGCAGTGGCGTTGAAGCTGCGTTGGAGTTTTGCGTTCAGGGAAACGTGGTTGACTGATGTCGCTTGCTTTGGGCACATGGGAACTCGACCTTTATCCTGATGGGAACGAAGTGGAACGCGAGATTCTCTGCGGGGATTACAACTGTGCCAAGTCGTCTTCAAAGATTGGGAAGGAGCTCGGGAAAGAGCCAAACAACAATCAGATTGTTACATTCCAAACACAAGATATGACAATCTGGACTGGATCTATGGGGAAGCACACATTGGTTGTTGCGGGCCCAGACGAATTAGTGCTTGTAAAGTCCTCAGAACACTCTAGAGAAATGTACAGTGGTACAGAAACTGTCAAAAGTTACATCCACAAAGGGGCCATCTTTGAATGTCCTGCAGTTCTGACACTGCCAACCTATCATTTGAGTCCGAGTGTAAGAACCCAGTTGTTGTTGCATCGTCGGGGTGCCCATAGTGGGGCAGTAGCAGGGGCTAGAAGGCATTAAATATTCACGATATTTGGAAACAGGATAGGTCTCTCGCAGCAAAATGAAGTTTGACGTAACTCAAAGGTTGTGGTATTTTACACAGTGCAAGTACATGTCGTGCCCAGCGAAGAAGGCTGCAACCACGAGAACGTGGCAAGATTGTGAATCTGTCCGGTGACAGTGGTCAGATTCTTGCCTTCCTCATGACGATCCATTCCCAAAGCAGCGATGGAGGTCGACAACTTTGTTTGAAAAATGATTATTTCTTGGAATAAGTTGACATGCAGAAGTGTTTTGGTGGCATTCTTACTCACCCCTTGTGTTAACTAAAACCATTCAGGACTTGCCATTGTGATTTGCAAAACTGAGGACCTTTGCATTTTTTAGTTTCAGGGGACTACGCCTACTATATTACAGATTGGCAGAGAAATATCTTTCAAAACTTTAACTCCCATGAGTGACTCTCTTTTCCGAATTAACTCATTCGCTATAGTAGCTGGATTATGCATCTTCTGTCGTGGAAGAGAACCATGGGAGGTTAGTACCAGTTGCATCAAAACCTTGACTACGCTTCCCTGGCGTACTCCTCACTGGCACATTTAAATCCCCAAGCTGCTCCAAGATGCTATGTGATCTTGAGACCACTACCCAAAGACTTGAATCACGACCTGGTATTTTACAATTTTCTAGAATTCAAAAACAAATCAACCTCAAACCAGAGACATCTATCTACTCGTGGTTCTCCAGCTTTGGCCTTTTTAGAGCAGGTGCAGGCTCTGCGGCTACTGGTGCCGGTCGTGTCCTTCCTTGAGATTGATGGCTCTGAGCAGAAGACTCAGGTGTTGTAGCAACCTAGTATCAATATGAATAGCCAATCGTTAGAAAATCATTCCCCACCATAATATTACCCAAAAGCCTCTCAAAATCACTGTGTCAACATTGTATACTCAAGTAAAGAAAACTACATCAAACTGCAAGTAACCACCAAGACCTTACGGTTAAAAAGTGCGCTCTGCAAAAGACAGTTAAGATTGTTCACCTTGGCTGAAGTATCAGCAGCCGCTGTTGCGACATTCGTCCCCAAATCAATTTGAACCGATATGTTAGCTCGACTTAGATCAACTCCTGAGCTCTGCAATGCTCGCGTCAAGGTGTCCAACAAACTGCAAGATACAGAATGTTATAGTCTAAGCACAGATGTTTCCCGATCCGTTCAGCAAAACAATGACGATCCCAACCAGTGATAAGATAGTCATTAACAAGCATCCTTACCAAAACTTAAAATTTGTCTTTAACAAAGAGAGCAAAAGAAAGTTGATCAACAAATTCTAGAGCATTGAGAGCGTTGCGACAAGGCCGCGGATAATGAGTGGGCTATTTTAGTGGCTCTGTTTGAACCACCACTACACTACAAGCAAAAACGAAATAGTTTAGTTGAACGGAATTATAAATTGCTCACCTTTGTGAATAAACAGAAGACACGTTGATAACACCTCCTTGAATGCGCGGAGGAGGCTGAGTGGGACAAGGAGAGGCAGCAGAGCCATCTCCAGGTGCGATCTGACCATTTTGACGCGCCGGTGAGTGCCTTGAAGGTTTGCTCACATTTTCTTGATAATAAGTTGCCCCATAAGATTGTCTGGAAGCACTACCATTAGATGGTTGTCCTGTTTGGGCTCCATCAATTCTATCTACAGCTGTCGCAGCTGGTGTCTGAAGTTCTGCCTTTGATTGCTGGCCAGAGATTTGCTCAGCTTGGCGAGCGGGAGAAATGCGAGGCCTCAATTCAAACAGCTGATCTGGAGAGTTTGCTCGGGCAGACCCATTCTCACGCGAACTAACCGGGTCTGGGTCACACAATTTCTCCTTTGCAGGCGAATTTGAGCCAGGCGTGCCACGACCACCATCCTGGTCACTCTGCAGTCTTGAGGGGACAATGGATAAGGCATATGGTAAAGGAATGGCCTGCTGAAGAGGCACACCCACTGCCAACGGCTGTGCAGTAGGTGCAGTAGCATGCTCTTTCTCACCGTCTAACGATGACACACAGCTATGAATACTGCAAGCTGGTCGACTGGAACGCTGTTGACCATTAATGCCAGCAGTCGAATGAACTTCAGATGTGAGCGCAGCTTGCTCAGACGCACGTAGAGCACGAACATCACCATTGGCCTCTGTCACCGGTTTAACATCCACAGGACCAACTCCAGAGTTAAAGTCCTTAGCGAAGATAAGTGCATTTAATTGTGATGCTTCGTCTGCTGATCCTGCCGCCCCTCGCTGCTAGAATGAAAACGCCACAGAAAAGTCAACATATTATTCATACTGAGAAAAAAAGTTCACCGTATGTGGTAAAAGACATTGAGAGTGACCAAATAGGAGCCCATAGCTGTTCTGAGCTTTTATGGTTTAAGTATCGAAAGGAAAGTGGGACACTGATTGAACAAATCGCACGGAGGTACGGTGATAGTTACACCTTCTTTACCTTGCAGATATCCCAAACCATAGATTTGAGCCTTTCCTGATGCCTTCCTTGCTCTGTAGTTTCGTATTTTCGCACCTTTTCTTGAAGGACTTGGATATACTCAATAACCTGCATGCAAAAACAAAAAACAAAGACTTTAAAACTTGGGTGATACAAACATGCTCATGAAAGGTTGATATTCCGTGAAACTTGGTGTTAGCGTTCAATTAGGGCAGGATTGTGCACATAAACTGAAAAAATCATGGCATTAGCCAAAAGTGACACACAGCTATCATACTTATATGAATTGAAAAGAACATCTGGTACAGTATTTTCATCAGCTGTATTCAAGTCCATTACCTCAAGCAAAAAGGATGCTTTATCTCGCTTTTGATCACTATGTGGAACCAGGTCCCTCAGCATTTGAAACCTGAAGACAATCAACTCGACATTGTCATCCATTCATTTGGCGATACTTTTGAGATATTCGGCAAAAAGGTTCATATAAGAAGGGACTTTATTGGGTAAGATTTGACTGCAACTTCTACATTACCTGTCATTAATCTTACTACGCCTCCGCTGTTCAGTAGCTGAATGCTTCGACCTTGGTGTACTACCCCTCATATCTCCATTCTTCACATCCATTCTCTGTGCTGTGTCTCCTGAGCATGACAAGTCGTTTCCTCGAAAGTCAAGATATTGATAAACCTCCTCAACGTACAAAAACAAGCACAAAGCAATACATAGAACTTCATACTATATCCATGTGATGTAAAACAATCAAGTGCTGAGAAGTGAACAGCGTTATATGAGACTACACCTAATAGCAAGGAAGGATAGTTGAGCAATCGTATAACTAGGAAGAGGTTGCACGAGCAATACGAGTGCCTCCCCAATACTTATCATCGCTGTCCCATCATCCCTAAGTATCGGTATGACTTGTGAATGCCTAATGCATGAGGGTCCAACCTTTACATGAGATTGACTCTTTCCGATTTCCTTTAGGCCGCTCGGATGAATCTTCATCCTCATCTTCATAATCCTCAGACGGAGGTCGGATTGACCGTTTTGGTACATCAACAATACCATACGTCCACTGCCTGAAAAAAATCACTCCAAGACAGGATTTAGGTCCTGGCTCACCAAGAAACAATGCACCATAACATCAATTCTCCAGCTTTTGCTATCGTGTCCAAAGTCTCAACAAATGCAGCAAGTGGGAAGCTTTGATAGCTTACTTAGCAATAGCAGGTATCGACTGATGACCGTTATCAACTGCACCTTTTACGGCTTGGCTGCCTGTGGGAAATGTTAAATCTGCCGGCATATCGAATTTGAAACTGACCCCTGGCCAGTGTGCGAGGTTGTCTGTATCAAAAGAGAAACACGGTTAAGTCAGCGCGTGACGACCATATACAGACCCTATGAGGACCAAGCGGCTATATGTCTGTGGGTACAAGACAAACATGCTGACGATTTCATTCAATACACTCGTCTCCATTTGCTGCGAAAATCACACTATGGAAAGTCATCAAAATGGGAAGAGCATCGTAACCTACGCTGACCTCGTGCATTGGCAACTTCCGGGTCCATGGCCACTTCGACGCCTCTCGAGGACTCCGGACCACCATTGTGATCATCAGGAGAGGAGAGAGTCACCATTGAGTATCCTCTACCTTGACGCAAGGCATCGGCCTCATTCACCATGCGATTCATAGAATTTGGATTCACCGCGTAAGGGACCTGATTATTCGAGTAAGTAGGCGCGACAGTAGGAAGGTTCCGTTCAGCGGAGGCGGGAGTAGAATTCCGAGATTGTACAGTATCTACCCTTGCCTGCTTCTCACGTGATGCAGGAGCATCTCTGTATGTTGATCGAGTTCCACTCCTCTCGAGTGGTTGCAGAAAATCATGAGTGGTAAGTGACGAAGGCAATCCTGGGCAAGTAACAAGGACTGGGTCAGATTTGACGAGACATCTTGTGCCTTAAAACGTGGGATCGAAAGATTAAGAGAAAATGGCAGCTACCTAGGTGGGGGGGGGGGGTATAGATAAGCACTCAGAACCGAGTTCGTCGACTATAGACCAAGGCAGAAAGATCATTCTTGTTACAAAACTCAGGGCAGGACTGTAGATCTTTTTTTCTTTTTTCTTTTTTCTTTTTTCTTTTCACTCCTAACTTTTGTACTGCCGCCTTTGTGCACAACTGTGGACAGGCAAATGAATCGTACCGGAACTTGAACCGATTTCAAGTTGATGTGCACCTTTGTCGTAGAGAGAAAGAAAGTCGTGGGTGGAAGGTTTAGTATCTGCAAGCATTGAAGCCACACGGTCAACTACCCGATGCCATTTAGTGAAATTCAATACTGCTTTTCAGTTCAGTCCTCATGGGCATGTCCAGGGGAATAAAAGCCCAGCACAAAGCATACGCTTTTCGTATCCTGCTTAGCAACAATGGAAGAATCAAGGAGCTTCAAGTGAGTTGGCTGTGCTCGATCATTAAGTCCCCAAGAGGAAACAAAACGCAAGCTATATTGAACAAAAGTCCTTGCGAGGTCTTCCGGAACCCAATCAGATGTAATAAAAAAATCTTCCTTTCTTTGCGGTCTATGGATGAGATCCTACCTTCCCTGCGAGCGAAATGGTGAGGTTGAGACCTCTCAGCCTGTTGCTGCGTCATAGCATGTCTTTTCTGCACAACGTAAAACTCTCGTTGCTGCTGAGCGGCGGATTCTTCCGGCACCACCTCGCCGTATCTGTTGTGCCCCAAAGATGAAGGCGATCCTATGGCCCAATCAGGCCCCAGCTGTTTGTGTCCCACAGCAGCTATAAACGCCATCGACCTCAGTAGAACACCCTTCTTCGTATGGCGGCTGCATGTAGATAGAACCCAACGGCTACACAACCCCCTCTGTCACAAAACACTCGATTTTCTTGAACAATCTCCAAGCACACCACATCTTCCCCTTATCAAGTGCTTCTTTCTGCACCCCTCGACCTCACCTCATTTCAGAACGCTTTCCGAAAATTAACACTCGATGGTTCTGTAAAACTTGCACCTCATCTTCCCAACAAGCCCGCGTGCGTGTCGTTACAGGGAACCCAGATTGGACAGGTAATCGATCTGAGTCCGGTTGAGGATATTGTCAGCACCCCTAGTGTTTCGTCATCATGGGAGCAGAGCAGCCGCACCAAATGAGCTGCGAGGCCCTACCAGGGTGTGGTGACCCACTGGTGGGGGCCCTGGAAAATTCACGTGTCCGTCGTGCCCACAACATGCGCATGCACGGACAACCAGGCGCAATCCCAGCAAATCACGCGGAGGGTCACAATCCCTTCTTCCTACCTTCTTCCGTCGCTCAAATGCCCGTCACCCCTCCAACCACCAAACACGTTCGCATAATAACATTGACACCACACCTTTTTCCCTCAAATCCGAACAACACCATCCAACTTCTCGCTCACACACTCTCTCTCTCTCTCTCTCTCTCTCTCGCTCTCACACACACACACATACACACACACTCACTCACTCGCTCGCTCACGCACTCGTACACTAAGGAATACAGACCCAGCCAGCCAAGTGAAAATACATGAAGCGGCTTGCACCGGTAAGAGAAGATCCAAGACCACCAGACAGAAGACAGAGATACACACGAGGCTTGATTTTGACAACGTGGGCGAGGGGGAAGTAGAAGCAGCAGTAGTAGCCGGTAAGTGATCTCAAAGTCCTCCCTCCCTGAAGCGAAATTTGCAATTCGGGGGGGTCGTTCACGGAGCGACGGCTTCGCTTTCACAGGACACTCCCCCTTTGTCGTCGCACCAGAGCCGGGCGGCCCGGGGTCGATGAACAATGATCAACGAATGTAACTTGGATGTACATCTGGATGAGGGACCTGTTGCCGCCCATGTCCTAGGGGGGCAGCCGGCGGGCGGCATGGCAAGTGCAAAAAGTAACACTGGAATGTTGCTGGCATCAATTGGACTACAGTTTAGATGGTTAACGTGTAAGCCATTTTGTTGTTCATTTTTCATTTGTATCTTGACATGAAATGCAGAATTAAATTTCTGTTTTATGGGATTGCTCTACGTGCATGGATGTTCTCACAACTCTCCTGCTACTATCATTCAAAATGAATTTCCTTGGGAGGGGAAAATGTGTGGGTCCAAAATGATATTAACTAGTGTTTTTGGTCCTTGAGCATGACTTGGGCAAGCTCAGGTGACAAATGGGAGTTGGTGCATCAATGACAGAGAAAGCCCCAAATCATCCAAATGGATGGATGTTGATGGCGGGATGTTCATCCGAAATTACATCCTCCCCGGTATTGGGGCATGGGGTGTCCTGTCACAGCTCGTTGGCAGCAACACCAGAAGAGCTCACAAAGCACGGAGACAGGTCGTCAGCTGCCTCCCAGAATTGCGGCGATAGGCGCTAGACCTACGGCGCCAAGTACACTGGACTTCCTCTAGGTGGGCATCATCATCATCATTATTATTATTATTTTGTGTTACTCCTTCTTGCCCGAGCTGTCCCCGCCCGCCAAAATGATTCTGTGCCCGGGTGCTGACTGGGCTGAAAGGCCATCCCCTCATCCCTTTCTCACCGCCGCATGTGTTGTTGTTGTTGCCGATGGCCATGTCAAACTAGGTGCACCGCCTCAACACGTGGGCCGGAGTAGGGCTCGCATCTTTTTGCATTGGGAACATCGGACACAAGCTCACAGACACATCAAATTTCTCTTCACCAACTAAACTTCTCTCCACAGATCAAATCACATCTCACTGCAAGCCCTAAATCCAAAAAGTTGCATTATGTTCTTAGTTTACACTATTAAGTAGCCATTCCACTTTAACCTCCACACCCTCTGTTTTTTCTAACGAGTTCACTGATAACCAAATCATACGACCAGCCATTTTTTTCCAAATTTAACAATAGTACTGAGGTAAATATTGTCTTTTTAGTAGAGTAATAACAAAGGAAGCCCATTCTCTCTCAATGTTGTTTGCCATGGCACACATGTCCCAACCCAATCGAATATTGACTAAGCAATAACAATGAAATTCCTTTGATCAAAATAAATATCCAAACCCTGCATGAAAGAATCATATCTTTTAAACACTAGTTCATGAATTTTAACCCGTAAAATAAATACAAACCAAAACGTTGCTAGAAAATGCATGTCAATACTTGCCTCCTCTTTCTGGGATGCCAGCAGGGCATATTTGGGAGAATGTAGTTGGGGGAGAGGATGCTGACTGTACTGCCAGCTGACAGAGTTAGGGTGCCACCTGTCATCAAACTCCATACAATGGTGGTGCCCTTCGATGAGACACTCGAGGTGGAGCAGTGAAGGAGACTTCCAATGTGGATGAATGACGACTTATGGATGTTGCATGTGTGGATGGATGTCTTTTTCCCCCGCTCCAAGGCCAAGTTTGCACATGGGGTAGGCATCCATCATACACAGACAGGCATCCTTATACTGTGTATGCTTTTTCTTTTTCTTTTTCTTTTCTTTTTTTTAATGTGGTGGGAGTGTGACAGGCCTACCTTTATCACAGGTAAGTGGTGGGGGAGCTTGCTTATCTGATTGAAGAGTGTCCCAATCAAGGCAATTTGAAAATGGGACGACATTAAGGTGTCCTCTACATCTTCAGCCCATCATTCCAGCACCATCTATATCATCCTTCAGACACCTTCTAATGACAAAGTGTGGTGCATTGTGCAGCATTTGGTTTGGGGTTGGAATCTACAATTTTTTATTTTTGTGTAGCTTTCTTGACATAAAAAGAAACAGAAAAAGAAAAAGAAAGCAACTTTATATACATTTTTGGAGAAACAACTTTAAGCTTTATTGTGAGTAAATTCTTCATAGGATGAAGTAACCCAAAGACAATCAAGGTTATTTTTACTTGTCTCACATGCATTTCTATTTTAGAATTTTCACTTCAAATCTAATATATGAATGTGGATTTCTATTTTAGTTATGTGTTTATCATTTTGGAATAATAAAAAGAGCATCAGGTTGTGTTATTTATTTTAGGCGTGTACAAGCAACAACATAAACAATTTACAAATACATAATTATTGCAATAACCTAATTTTTTATAAATCATAGGTAAAAAAAACCAATTAGAACACAGAGGATATTATATTTATGTATCTATCAATTGGCACGCCATCAAATTATGCAATGAATTGGAAAAATTTGTAGAAATTTATAAATTAAAAACCTATTCAAACACATGTATCACGTTTCAGAATATCAAAGAAGATAAAAAAAAACTGAATATATAATGATAACACACATTGAAAAAACCTAAATCGAAATAGCAATTAAAAAATAAAAAACAAAACCAAAACTCAAAATGGTAAACAAACTCATGTATATTGTAGAAGAAAGCGTTGAGGTGACAATAGCCTCGACACCTCGGAGAACAAAAGAAGCAGAAGCACTGAAAAGGATATCCACGCGGCATATCGGGAGTGGAGAGGTCCAGGTGGCGTGGGAGAAAGGAAGTTGCCAGTGTGAATGAGTCCAGGAGTAACAACATTGCGCGCTGCGTCGCGTGGGGAGGAGGGAGCCCACAATAGCGAGGAGGAGGCAGCAGCAGGAGCAGCAGGGCACACGCTAGCGAGGGCGAGGCGCAGGCGCCTCCTCGAGGCGAGCACGCACCTTCGCCACGTTCCGAGTCGCAGACCAGGATCACATGGAAGCGGCGGCTACGGCTCAGGTTGTCGCTGATAGGGCCTCCCCTGCCCCTCCCTCCCAACTTCAGTCTCTGCAGTTATGGCAAGCACGCGCTGCCGCATGCAGCAGTGCCTTCGACGAAACATGATAGAAGAAGCAGAAGAAGAGCAAGACATGGCGGATCCGATGCCTCCCCATCCCGACCCCCACCCCCTCAAATCTGACTGATTGGAAGCAGCGGGAGGAGGAGGACTGATCATTATCCAATGAGGCACGTGGGGTGACTACCCAGCCCCGTTGTGCCAAACTTGACTTGATCGCAGCATTTGGAACCAACCGTAGTATCTAGTATAGAACGCCAAGTGTCAGGCGCATCAATCACCGTGACCAGAGAGTCGGTTCTATCCGTTCAGTAGATTGGGACCATCAGGTTGGAAGGGGAATTTTGTAGTAGTCATGTAACCTTGCGAGCACATGCCGCGATTGAGGAGGGATGCGCTTTAAGGCCTCGAACCTCGACGCGTGGGATCGTAATATGATCTGAGTCGTACAGGTCACCTCGGTGGATCGGAATTTGTGGATGGCGCGGGATCAGATGCCGGCTGTGGTGTCAGTCACACATTGGCAGGGAAGCAACAGGAGGCGAGTGCATGTAGGGACCGTGTTGTAGGGCCATCCTCCGTCGGGTCCCACCTTTCTGTCACGTGTGGGACTGCTCAGGATGAGATTTGCGCGAGTGCTTCGGCCGTACTGTGAGTGCGCAATTGTGCTCTTGTCTCCAGCGTTTTGTTCTGATTTCTTTTCTTTTATTCGTACACTACATTCTAATCGGTCTCTTCCAAGCTTGGAAAGTCTTGGTTTCTGGGAAATGAGCTGGGAGGGGCTGCCAGTGGGATTGGAGGAGAAAGGTAGGCATGGGTTGTGTGTGTGGGTATGTTGCTGGGGACCAGGGCAGCAACATTATATGCCTTCAAGAGGAGATGACCACCTGACGTGTTGTCCATCGTGAACGTCTCTGGGTATGTCCACCGTGACATATTTGCCTCCGAATAATAATAGATGGCTATGGCTCGAAATGGGTTCACTCAATTGCATGTTCTTTCTTTCTTTCTTTCTTCAACTTTCGGAACTAATTTTGGACTCTCCCTCGCGAACAAAACTCGCCTCTTTTGTGGGTATGGAACTGCTATTGACGAATCTTTATACGCTGTGGTGTCACCGCCTCGGTTAGTAGGCAGGGCTAGAATTTCTGGCGACCTTTTAAGCAGGAATTGGCGAGATACTCTAGTTCAGTCCAATTTGAACTCGAGTTGATCACGAGGCACTTCTTTTCTGGAGGAGCAGAGGCTCAGCGAGATTCAAATATGGAATCAAGATCCCGCTCTGCTGTTCACCAATTGGGGACCAAAGGAGCTGATGAACCCCGGTTGTCATGAACTTAGTCTTCAAAGATCAGTATAAATTAATGAAAGCATGACATCATTCATTCATATGTTATTATTATTCCTAAATTTATTTGCTCTTTCAAGTCATCTTGCAGAGAAAATCTCTCACCAAGTTGGGCTTGTCAGCAAGCCATTAACCTCGCTGCACAATAAAGAGATTAAGCAAGCTCAAGGCAAAGAAAACCCGATTACTAAGCCTTGAAAAACGAGGGTTTTCTTCAGAAGAGCTCATGATTCATTTCTTCTTAACCTTTGTGTTGTATTGGAGCTCATACTTCGTGGATGTAAAATTTGTAGATCGTGCATAGAAGAATGATTTTTTTCAGAATTTTGTTTGACCTCTCAATCTTAAAGAGCATTGAGCGTGATCCCAACTTCTTCACAAATGAACACAATTCATCATCAATGTAGAATTGACATCAGCTCTTAGCATAAAGTGGCCCGGTTTCTTTATAGCTGTTCTGCCTAATTGGGGTCTGATTCTATCCTACCAAAACCTAGAATTTTTTTTCATCGTAAAATGTCAAGTAGAAGGAAGGTAAATGATTTTCCATTTAATGAATTTCATTTGCACCATAATCATAACTCCATAGCAAATCCCTTCTAAATATTCTACAAATTGGAATGTTATGACAAAGCCATAATAAAAAGTGACACAGAAAAACACCACGACATATTGCCCAGCAACCATATTTCACAGCTGAAAAGTGGAGGGTGGATTCTTTGCTGTGATGGAGTTTTTTCAACAAACACCAGAAGCACCGATGATCCGTAATGCTAGGCATGGATTTATTCTGTTTCGGTTTGTTTTTTTGTTTTTGTGATGGGATGCGGTGGGTCAAGATAAGCGATGAGTCACGGGCGTGTAGCGATGGAGCCCATCAGTGCTGTGTGCTGCTTTAAAGGGTCTGCAAGGGAGGAAATTGGGCAGGCAGGCGGGTGGGGTAGGAGAGACGAATTTCCTCGAACGAAGGACATACGCCTGGGAGGGAGCCGCACGATTCATGGACATTGCACGTGATATGGCACACCTGCTCCGCTTTATAAAGCCAACTAGCTCACACTTGACCCTCTATCTTGGGCCACATGTTCCCTCAACCTGCCGCATCTGACCGCATTTGGTGCACTAGTTGTGGGCGCTATGACTAGACCACACCCACCTTCACTGTCCTGTTTTTGTGCTTTCTTTTTGAACTGCGAATGCAGTCTCAAGGCACCTTTTTCCAGTGTTGGAGTTACAATTCCAATTTGTGTGTGAAGTGTTAACGTAAGATTTTGAAGCAGGACTTGTGCTTACCTCCAGAACTTAATTCTTTTACTATTTTATGAACTCTCCTCTGCCTTCAAGTTAGCCGAGTCCACCTTCACGACGTTGTTCATGTGACTCCAATTCATCGTGTGCGTTCAGCATGCATGCAATGGTTGTTTATTAGACTTTCTGCGACAAATTTCCCACTTCCTTGAGAACGGTCTTCGAACACTGCAAACTGTGCCCAATGTGACAACTACACGACATGACTCTGGATGACTCCCACGAGAAGCACTTACTGAGTCGTCACGCGCAAGAGAAGTGGAACAGAATCTGCTCAGAATGTAGAAGGAGATCAATTGCAGTCTCCATGTGCACACCATTCACTGCTGACGACCATCTTCAAGGAATAATGCTGCAAGAGAATGCATATAATACATCCGAAGTCGTCAGTGGAGATGCGAGAACGATGTGGAGATGTTCGGATCTTACCCCGTTGGCCCACCCACGTGCTGCAGGAGAACTGCCACGAGCACGGAGTACGTTGCTTCATTGAATTATTTTGATGACTGCTCTTTTTTTTTTTACCTTTTTTTTCCCCCCTTGAGAGTCATCACACAATTCGCAGTTCCTAGATCGTTTCAGTGCTTAGGGAGAAACAACCAGTTTAACCACTCGCTACAACCATGTTTTGAGGATATCATTTCGGCAAATAGCATGCAAAAATAATCTCATTTTAGCTCTGACACTGTGCAGCTAAACCAATCTTCACTAAAGATTTTAACGCAACTTTAAAATTGAATGCAGGACCTGCACAATTGTCGCGATTGACCTTACAGAATCACGACGCCTCTAACTGAAATTTCTTTCTTGGCCCATCGATCATAAAACCAGCAAGGGGTGCAAGCTTTCTTTGTCATCGGAGCTCCAGCTCATTAGATAAGGCCTAGTCTCTACAGTGCTGACACCTGATGTGTGTGCGAGCGCAGACATGGGCGGATATATGTATTTATATATATATTTATAAATATATACACATATATATAAATACATATATTGCTTTCCTGACTGTACTGATTGCTTCTGCAAAACAAGGCATTAACACTTGTTGCGACAGGAGTCAAACTTAAATCTGGACTGTGCGTGGGGTCAGTCATCCCGAAGCAATCACTCACCCACGTCATTAACCGCGTGATGCAGAACATATGGCAACGTTGTAATTGACGAGGGAAGATTGTACAGGACAACCTCCCCCATACACATAGATAATTATTTTCGAGGGTCACCATCTCAATAGATTGAGGTCGTTTACCGGTGCACATGTGACAAGACCTTTCGTTCGATTGGCCAATATCCGTTACCAGCAGTTGTGCATGCTCTTTTCTGAAGCTATCATCTATAGTCAAGTTTTAGAATGGGCTAAATTAGGATTAGGATTCGCAGCGGAGAAAGCCTCTGCTTTCTTTCCAGCCATAGAAGTGAGGTAGATTGTCCAGACGAAGGAGCAGCAGTTGTTGAATAACACCTGCGCCAGTCAGCAGCAAGTGTCGGCAAAGATGCTGAATAGTTTATTTCTTATATTGCAAAGCTCTGCTTGAATCATGTGATTCACTTTATTTTTTTTCACAGAAAATGCTGATACTTTTGCAGACACTCTAGGGGTGGTAAAATTTCTTCAGTTTCAGTTCCAAAGATTCACATCCGTTTTGAAGACCATCTCTGCAGACTAAACTGGAGTAAAGAAATGAAGGCATGGGGTGACCTGAAGATGAATTGGGATGTATCGGAACGTGACGAAGTCAAGGATTGGCCAATACATGGCACCGCTTTTCCAAGTCGGCCAAAGATCACGCTTGATCTTCTCGATAGCTTGCTCTCCACTCTCCCCTGCACCCACCGTTGCATATATCTTTGATATCAATGAACATCAAATAAATCACTATATCATGACATGAGTTAGTCGATTTATGAAGTCATGATCGAAAACCTTGAAGAAAAGAATTAACTGCGAAGAAAGAGCTGTTGACAACAGGTGATGCAATAAGTTGTCCAGCCAGCACTTTCTTCATGGAACTGGCGACATCTGTCTTGGGGAACCGCCATAGCATTAGGTTGAACCATATGTGCAGAATGGGTGCAGTGAAAAATGCACCAATTCCTAGCATCCGCAGTGTCCGTATTTTGTCCCAATCCTGCTTTGTCTCGCCTTCTTTCAACGTTTCGTTTGCAAGATACTGTCCACCCACAGGGATCATCAAATCTGTGCCATTATCTATTGTACATTAAAAACCAATTCAAAGCCCCTCATGGTCACAACCCCTGCCTGGCTTTGCTCATAGCGTGGCAATAGGTGAGATCTATTTTTCATAAACTGCAGTATCCATACACATACTTGGCTTAAAATTTTCACCGAGACGCTGCAGAATGAAAACGACGACGAGGATTGTTTCTCTGAAGCAAGAAACTTACTTGAGCGGTAATGTCTGCAAAAGCGAGGATGTTAGCGGCAGTGATGCTCTTGGTAGGAAAAGTGTATTTGTCCAGCATCCGCAGGTACCACGCAATGAATCCCGATTGCGTTGCGGATGCATCGGAAGTGAATCCTCTGGGGCAAACGCTCCTGGATGAGGAAGGTTTCCATGGAAGATGGACCCTAGTGAAATCGTTGGTCATAAGGACCCGAGATTTGGACGTCTCGGCCAAGTTTTGAAGAGGAATGCGTTGGTGCCAGAATGTGGTTGCTGCAGGAGTGGGCACATTGGTGGAGTAGTGGCACAGTCGAAGGTGACGACCACCACCACCTGGTCTGCTTAGGCTGGCCACCAATTTGAGCATATTGCTAGGCTAACGGGGCTCAGTGTCGGTAACAAACGCATACCCCCGTGATCATGCATGCCGTGTAAGTGCGAGGCAATGGCAGTGGACAAGAAAACCGTCATTAACGCCACATGGCACATGCAATATACTTCATGGGCTGATTCTCAACCACCCGGGCTGTGAGAATACCCTAACCACCACCCTCATCAACGACAGCTCAGCTTCAACCCCACTCACTTGAAATACTGTGCTTGGTTGACATATTCAACTTAGCTTCAGGAGGACAAACTTCGCCCCTGTTGGGAGGTCGTGATTCACGTACATCCTAGTTGCTAGACTTGCATCGCACGGAACGAGCGAGCGATCGGTCGATCGAAATCTTTCTCTAAAACGTGTCTGCAAATTGGATTTATGTTTTTTCTAAACAATTCTTTTGCAGAGGAACGATCTCCGACCATGAGGAAAGTCATCCACCACTTCACCGACACTGTCATGGCGAGAGAGGTTCTATTTATTTATTTATTTATTTATTAGTTTATTTATTTTTGACACAACTTGGGTGTACATGAGAGAGTGATTCAGAAACTAGCAGCAACAAACTTCAGAAGCCTGGTCTCGAATGCACCCAGCATCGTTTTGTGTAGTGATCATGAGCATGGAATGAGCCATCTTCTGCATATTATTGATGGCTTCTCATCAAGTCATGTGAAGGAGAAGAGTCATGCACAACTTTGTGAGCATCCAAGGCTGCATACATGTTGGAAATACCCAACCTGCATTCATATTTGCAAAGCAATCTCACTTCCAGGCTCAAACTGCTACCATCATGTCATAACACCTTGCTTCCCACTAGAGCATCCTGTGTATTGAGAAGAATTGGACTATGTGCTCTCCATGTCTACAAGTGCTGTGACCTTGCCACATTAACATTAGAATTAGGTAAAAAGGTTTTTATTAGTTACCACAATTAAGGTAAAATATTTGTATAAAGTATCACCTCATCAAACATACTTGCATAAGTTTTGCAACATGATATTAGAGTAATATTAAGATATTTTGTAATATTAGGTCAAGTGGGCCTTGCTTCCTACATAAGAAGAAAAAAAAGAGAGATAGTGATAGACACTAGATATATCCTAAATGGATAAAACCACTTGAGTGAAGAGATGACATAAGCCAAAGAAAAATCCTCAAACCGTGAATTAGAAGAATCAAATAAGATGATAAAAGTCTAGAACTACTTTGATTGGAAGTTAAAAATGTCTTTGATTTTGAAGAGAGAAAACTTATGGAAAATAGTAGAGACAAAGAGATCAATTTCATCTTTTCTAGTTAGCATACAAGGGAGATCTTACATTCAAACTCAATTAGTAAAGGCTAAAGAAAGAGTTCTTTCAAGTCTTACCAAGTCAATTGCAAGTAGCATAATAGGTACAATTTCTTAACATATTAACCTAAGAAATTCGTAGAACATGCTCAAAAGGATGTTCAATGCAAGAGATGAGCAAAAAATTATGCTTCTAATTAACACATTATATGGAATGACAATGAAAGAAGAGAGTGATATCACCACTTATATGATAGAAACAATAGATATGAAAAATTAGCTAAAAATATTTGACAAAGTCATTGCAAATCATACAATCATAAATATTATCCTTAATGTACTCAAGAAAGCTATAAAATGATGATCCAAGGCATCACCTACATGATAAAAGTGACATTTGAAGATGTGATGGATAAGCTTCTTATTGAAATCCATTGTATGGCAATTAGAGGACATAAATTGAGATAAGAATAAGCATTATTTTTTCTTACACAAAACCAATTTATGCATGGAGGTAGACAATGAAGAAACTTAGGTTAAATTCCTTAACATCAAGGAGGATCAAGTCCTTACTTATTTAATCAACTTCAAAGTAAATAAGAAGAATCCTTGATCTTTGCTAGAGTAGCCTTATAACCGACTACATGTGGATTTAGACAATACAAAAATATACATTAATTTTAGTGCTACACATGTAGAGGAACAAACCACATTGTCCAAAATTACACATATAATTAATATCATGATTCCAATATCAAATACATATAAGAAAATACTTACGATGGAAACATTGATAATTTGTGCTAAACAAATCTTATTGACTATCAAAGTAGAAACTAATATGTTGACTCAAGAGTGAATAACAATTTTACTAGAGAAATACCAATTATTCAACCGATAGATACACAAACTCCAAATAGTGCATTAAAAACTACAAACAATAAATCCCATAGAGTTAAAGCCATTAAGTCCCTGTCAAGGACAAGAATATAATAAGGCAAATAAACAAGTGAGGCTTCTTTCAAAGAAAGATGATAAAATAGAAATAACTTGATATGTATATTAAAAATTAAATTGAAATGGCTATTGCCAAAAGACAAGAAAACTAGAGACCCTTGAAACTAAACTGGAAGCAAGAAAGGAGTTGACAAGAGTGAAGAGGGCTTCACTCTTGTCTCTATATATACTATCTAACTAGGTTCTACGTGGTGACGTTCTATAAGACCTCCAATATGTGTTGACTTTGTAGGGCATATGCCTTGACTTACAAGGCAAGTTTTTATATGTGTGGGCCACATAGTTAGCTTGGTCTTCAAGCTAACAACATATATGGCACATGGCCAACTTGTTGACCACGTTTCTAATCCAAAAAGTCAATTAAAGACACCTATAAAGTCAAAGCAGCGTCTATGAAGCTTCTAAGAAGCTTTCATATCAAATATTATAGAATTAACTTACTTTTACCTACTTTTACTTACTTTTATCTATTTATACATGTAATTATTGGCTTACATGTGTATGTCCGTGACAGTACCCTCTCTTCTAGGGACGAGTTCTACGAGAAGCGATAATCATATGTTGAGAAAATCTATGATGCGACGAATTATATTCGCCACTTACTCTGATCTTTGTTCTCTTCGAAGATGATTGATAGGGCCTCTCAACCATCGGTAGTGTTCTATACCAAGGCAGGAAGACCACCCAGTTATTTGATCATTATTGAGGCCTTCATAACTTCCTTCAAATAAAATATTTAGAACACCATTAGGAGTTGTTCCTACCTCTAATAAAATCACCAAACATCGGAAGTCCCTTCCAAGGTTGTGATACCAAACGCATTATATTTTGCCATCTATTCAAGGAAAAATATATCGTTCTTAAAGATCTTCATCTCGATTGCGTCGTCTTGAAAGTTGAGACAATTGTAATGTCTCATCTGGTAGGTCAGCAAATAAAGGCTCTTGAGTCGAATCTGCTGGTTGTTGGTTCTCCATCTCCTAAATATCACAACTACAAAGAAGCTATAAACAAGGATTGTAAGTATAATGATATCTTGTCTAGATCTTGTTTTTTTTATAAAGAAGGTTTTCATTTTGATTTTGATGGATGTCGTCGATGAAAAGTCTCTACTATCTTTCCTGCATTTGTAAGATTCTTTACAGGCTCCCATGTGCATTCACTAATATCATATCCGTGCCAATGGACAGATATTCCAATTTATTTCAGCGCTGCCTTGAATCTAAAACTTCTTCCACTTCAAATTCTTCATTATTGTCTACTTCTATAAGAGGAGGTGGAGCTTGTCTTTTTCTTGGTATGTCCACTGTCTTGTATGGTTCAAGAAGAGACACGTGGAATACTAGATGGATTTTTATTGACTCTGGTAGATGTAAACAATATGCAACTAGATTGATTTTTGCAGAAATAGAAAATGGTCCAAGCCTTCTATAGTCCAATTTGTCACAAAGACGAGTGGTCTTGATATTGCGACGAAGTAACCATACCTTATCACCTATGTAGAATGGTGGTTGTTCCTTTCGATAGACATCCACATTGATCTTTTGTTGTTCTTGAGCTTCTTTTAACTGTGCCTTCATCATTGCATGTAGCTCTGACAAATGAATTGCCAAATCTTTCGCAGCAGGATTATCAACTTTTGAAAAGTCAAAAGTATCAAATCATAGATGATAACCATAATTAGCAAAGAAAGGTGTTTATTTTATAGAAGAATGTACCGTGTTATTGTAAGCAAACTCTGCCAATGGTAAAAGAGTTGTCCAATCATCTTGTTGGAAGTTAATAGTATATCTTAAATACTGCTCCAAAACTTGATTAACACGCTCCGTTTGTCCATTAGTTTGAAGATGGAATGCCAAAGATAGTTTTATATCCACTTTTAGAATCTTGAAAAGAGTCCGCCAAAATCTTGATACAAATTGAATTCCCCTATGTGATATAATATCCTTGGATAATCCATGATAGCGATAGATATTGTCAAGAAAGAGCTTAGCTGTTTCTTCACCTGTGATAGATTTTGTACATGGTACAAAATGTGCCATCTTGGTAAAATGATCTACTACCATGAATATAGAGTCATAAGAACCTGAGATTCGAAGGTCCATGATGAAATCCATAGAAACAAAAGACCATGGTTGTTTTGGAATGGATAATGGCTGAAGAAGTCCGTAAGGTCGATGATGAGGAGTTTTTGATCTCGAGTAAACATCACAAGATTATACAAAATCTTTAACTGCTTTTCACATTTGAGGCCACCAAAAGTCCTTGGATATTAGTTCCAAAGTTTTATTGCATTTAAAATGTCCTACTGCTGGAAAGTCATGATGAGCTTGAAGAACACGTAATTGAGCTTCACCTTCTAGAACATATAGGCGTCCCTCAAAATATAATAGATTCTTCTTGAATTCAAACTTGAAAGTATCATGAGACTTTGAAGGATTTTCCTTCATATCATGAATAAGAGGATCAAAAGACATACTTAACTAAATTTGCTTAATGAAAGTTGAATTAACAGTTAGTGTTGATTTCATTGCTCGAAGATGAAGATGCTCTGACTTCAAGAGAATTATCCATTGTTGATCAAAAGCAGCATCTCTTTCATTTGGTACAAGATAAGATCATCTAGAGAGTGCATCTAACAAACCTTGTTGTTTTCCTGGTCGATAAGTGAACTTGAATTCGAATCTTAATAAAGACATACTCCAACGAGCTTGGTGATGATTCAAAACACGTGCTCACATAAAATATTCAAGGTTCTTGTGATCCGTATACACAGTGATTGGGCTAGAAGCACCTTCTAGATAATGGCACCATTCTTGAAACAAATCCATGATTGCAAGAAGTTCTTTGTTGTAGATCTCGTAGTTGATCTCGACTACTGAAATTTTTTTGGAA